GATCAAACTGGAGAATAAATCCTTTCTATTCTGAACCGTTTATTCTTAATGAAATGAATAAAATATCTAAGTAAAAAAAGAAAACCTTTCTGAAATTTAAGAAAAAAAGAGACGACTTTCAATTTAAAACTTGTCAATAAATGATTTCAAGTTTAATGAAAAGTGGGTTTTTCCAAAGTTTCGTTATCAATTAAACAAACATCGTTATATTTGACGTATAAGATTATAGAATTTTCACAGTCGAAATGACGAACTGATATTAACCAGACCAAGATTAGAAACCTAAAAGCACTGGATGGTCGTTTTGTCCTGGTATGGGACTCCACAATAGTGCAGATCCACAACCCGCACACGGAGATCGAAATCAAAACCTTGAGTTCTACGTGAGAATGCTTAACCTTTACATCACTGAGCTGTCGTTCAAAGGTGTTAATGTCTAACTTCAGTCAAATTATATTATGTTATTAACTATTTATGTTATTAAATTACATAATCAACTTAGAGATCCTGTTAAGGCATTTACCTAAAAGCCTATCCGATAATTATCTACATAGGATTAACAAGAATAGATTATATTTTTATTAGATCCACTTCACCCTCTTACAATTTGAAATAATTAAATACTATAATTACAAGATGGTTTGGAAATACTTAAATGAATGAGTTTAGATGGAGGTATTTTTCCAAAACACCACAGCATAGTATAACAAAGATCCAAATAAATTGAAGAAACTAAATAAAATTGGTATATGGCTAGACAGTACATCACCTAGAACACTGCAGCCAAACAACTAATACTGTATAAAATGCCATGTTCAATAATTTAATCACAGACCCACTGGTACCCTCTTTCATGTTGTCACCAAATGTGTCACCTACTGAGGAAGTTACATTATTTGTACAGCAAGAAAGAATTATCTTAAGTTTGCTGAGTAAGTTCTAAAAAGTTATCGGTCAAGAGGGAGATAAACTTTAAATAACGCAATCCTCAAATATTTCTTTGACACAGAAAATCAGGTCAATACTACGCAATCTTCGAAGGTGAACAATCAACGGTCGAACTCTAATCTTCTGAGTTTTGTTGAAGCTATTACTATCAGACATCAGAAACAATCATTAATAAGTTAAGAAGGAAATATTTATTCATTTTTCTTTGTTTCAATGTAACAAACGATTTTTGTTGCCACACAAAATTCTGCTTAACTTTTGGTGTTGGTTGATTACATGACTGATGCTCACTCCGAGATTCCAACTCAGTACTTTCCCTTTAGAACCATGAACGCGTTATTCACCTAGCTACTGACTCCAGATTGCCATTCAATTGTGCAATATATTCCATTGCAAGCCATATTCCATTCCTTCTATATGAACCTGTGACATAATAGCTACGTAGAGGTATTCTGCTAAATATGTACATATATTAACAAAAATTGATAGAAATTCAGCCAAAATATCAATAAAATAATATTTTAAATATTGTAGGATAAAGTATGTGAATACTTGATTTCATGCCAACTTTATCTTCGTTCTCACACTTATTCAGTTCACCGAATAGGTTTTTTCAAGAAAGTTAATAAATTCATTACCAACTTTTCCAGTTACCTTTATAGACAAATGTAATCAATAATTTCTTATTTCACCTATTCACATTTATTAATAAGTGGTTTTCTGTTTATTACTTACTTACGCCTGTTATCCCTAGTTGAGGAGCATAAACGACCCACTAGCACTCTCCATCCAACCGTGTCCAGGTCAATCCTTTACAGTTATTTCTAGTTCCTGTTCATCCTTTTCATATCTGCTTTCATTTCCTGACCTAGTGCGTTATTCGGCCTTCCTCTTTTCCGTTTCTCTTCAGAACTCCAAGTTAGGAACTGTTTCGTAATGCAGTTTGATGATTTCCGAAATGTATATTTATCCAATTCCAACGTCATTACTTCATTTCCTATCATTGGTGAGTGCATAACATTGGATAACATTCATTGTGACCCTGCTTCTCTGTTTTGAATGATGCTTTGATGATCTTGGATCAGTGAGATTCTCATTCTACAAGTGCGTGTCATGCTTCTTTGGACAGCATCAGAGGAACTCCCTGAGTATATGGTGCATTTACCTCTTCGTATCCGGAGTACAGCAGCACCTCTCCCATATCTAGCCTTTTCTGTTCAGCTTAGGTCCAATCAGTTTCGCTGATTCCGAATACTGTCAAGTTGTATCTTCTCATTTCCACAGCTATTTGACTAGTCCTCTCCGTCTCCTACATCTTCTGGACGTTCCATGTACCTTTAAAACTTGTCGCTCTGGTCTTTAGCAAGGGCATCGGCCACGTAACTTTCGAAGAATATCGGCTTTCATCATGAGACGTCATAATTCTTCCTTCAAGTGCCAGAGCAAAGTTTAAAGTGTTTAATTTGTTTGATCTAGTTGGAGTTTTTTAGTAAGACTTTTTTCTACGGGATGAGGTTGCCGACCCCATGCCCGAATTCCCCTCCTTTACCCGGGCTTGGGACTGGCAGTAGCTCTAGAACAGCTACATGGAGAGTTTATACTTATAGGTTTTCATCGTTTATAATAATCGGTTTGGTATTCCAAGACTCAACTGTTAACAAGTAGACTGAAATAAGGGAAACTCACATAGACTAAGTAAGAAGACTAAGTGATGTAAATAACTTTTCACCACAAATATTGTGTTTAAACGTCATAGGTAAAATGTCAGTTGTAAGAGCTATTTGTACTTTCGTATCGTTTTCACGTTACAAACTGTTAATAACAGATTAATCGTGTTTAAATGTGAATTCTAGTATTATTAAGGGATTGTAATTCATCTCATTTGATATTCTGAATGTCAACCGATCAGTTCTATTTGTCGTGTTCGCATGTTAAACGGATCGCCTAACAATAGTTTTTAGTCACAAGATTATAGTGTATTTTGTATGTAGCTAATAGTGGACAGTGTATTACCGTTTGAAACAAAAAGCACTGAGTTTGAGTTTCGATGAAAACATAAACACTAGCTTGTAGACATTATCGGCTAATGAGTTTCGAATAGGATGAAACGTGAGACCTAAATTCCTACTGTTAACCGAAATTCTAATAAACTTTAACTGTGTCAAGATTATGTAACACTAATAGTTCTGGTATTTTACAGTTTGTGAATACACGTGTTTGATGAATGATAGATCAAACCTACTGATCACATAGCAAAACACTTAATCTATAGGTATTAACTGTTCTATAATATATATCCTAAAAAATAAACGATCGTACATTTACAAAAGTGATAATTATTAGTTTATCCTCACAGAATATACAAACTTTTAGACTGTGTTAACAAAAAAAAAACGAGTCTTGAATTTACATCATGAAGTTCATCATACCACTGAAAATAATGATTTCTAGCATTGCGTTGAACGTATGTCTGTGTATTTACCCAGTTAGAAGTTATGAAAGTGGTGATACAATTAGGTAAGTTCATCATCGTATTTCTGAGTAATGTATGCCATCTTGGTATCTCACATACAACAGACAAAAATCTTATATTTTCTGCCAACTATATCTCAACACCAAATATTAATTATATGGGATCGTAGTGTAAAGTCATTTGCCTTAGTAATTAAAATGATTAAAGGAATTCGATCATTGTTTAATAATCTTCAGTGAATTACTAGTGATATACTGTCTCAGTAGAGAACAACCAACAAGATTTAACAGATAATATTGATTATTATTATTAATTAAAGAGATGATATAACTGTTTATAATAATGATGAACTACTTCTGTATTTATAGCAAACTTACATCTAGGTGTTTATCAATTACATGTAGATTTTAAACTACCTCAACTATTTATGAAGTAATGTTCAGTTTGTTTGTACACATTAACTCCCTATATCAAACTGTTGAATGATGAAATAAAACATACGAATATGATCTAAAGTCAGTCAGTTACAACATAGGACCAGGCACATATATGCGTCGTTCCAAGTTGCCATACCTCATTAGCGCAACAAGATCAACACCAAATTCATAAATGCAGTTACTTCAATGGAAGTAATACATAAAAGAAAGATTGCGTATAAGGTCAGTCAGTCTTGAGTGCTATTAAAGGTATTAGGGCGGTTGTCACCTCACGGTTGCCCACACGTCGAAGGGTTCTTCTGGAGATACCTGAAAAGGAAATTGGTTTAGGGGTGGTCTCAGTGACTTGAGAGCGTGACCGCAGTGCCAAAGGGACAGCTGCTTGAGGTCGGTCACACACGACCTTTTTATGAGTGATTTTTGTGTTAGCTCCGTACTTGTTGAGTCCTTACCGCCGGAGACGGATATCCGTGGGATAAGGCGAGGTGTGCATTTTTAGGGTCGACCTTTTCTAACCCCACCCCTCCTTGTGGGAAGGAAACATCGCTGCTATGCTGGTTGTCTGAAAGAAACACTTTGCTGCCGTCAAACTTCTTTACAGTCAGCAGTACGACTTCGCCTTCGGACCTTGGGTTTGCTGCTCTTAGTCTTACCGCTCTTCAACCGACCTGTCTTGGATGGTAAGAACTTGAGGAACGGTTGTTCCAGCCAGTATAGCTCAGTTGCTTTGTCACGAAATACAAGTCCGACCACCACGTCAAGGTAGTAATAACAGTCGGGATATAATCTAAAATAAATGATCTATTGTCTAATATTCATCTTACCACTTAATTCATTCAGATAAAGAAAAAAATTTTCTAATCTCAATTATGGTTCTTAACTAAACAAAACTAATTTCCAATAACCTGAAAGCTGATAAACAATTGGACGAAATTATTAACCAATCAGGATATGACAAATGATTTATTGTTGAATAGATTAAAAATAAGCGAATCATTTTCTCGATAATTACGTGATTATGTTTACTATCCATATTTGTTAGTGCTTTTTATGTGTTTCAAATAAATATCTAATTCAAGTTTTCAAAGATTTTTTTATTCAATGATATTCTTATCGAATTAATTAATAATACATTAATTATAATGAATGTAAAACAATCAGAAATCTTAAATACAATGCATAATTATGGTCCTACACGTATACAATGTTATCTTTGTGATTTACCACGTTATCCATGGGCAATGTTATCAGAATTTAGTGAACCAGTATGTCGTGGATGTGTAAATTATGAAGGAGCTGATAGAATAGAATGTGTTATTAATCGAGCTAAATTAATGAAAATGCATTATTTACCACGTATTTATTCTCAAAGAATTATAAATGATAAATTCGATGAATCTCAATTGAATATACCAATAACAACAACAACAACAACAACAACAATAGATGAACGTAATAATACTTCTATAAATGATTTAAATACAGAACAGAGAAAATCTCCATTGGATTTAAACAAAAATGTTTTATTTAAAACACATTTAAATAAAAATTCTGAAATTAATCGATTTATTGATTCACATTATTTAAATAGTAATAATAATAATAATCAGATAAATGATGATATTCATAAAGATTTAAACATATTAACAGGTAATAATAATAATAATATGATCCAAACTGGATCCGAAGTAACAGTACCATCTTCAACATCATCAACCATTTCAAATAATATACAAGATGAGAATTTATTAAATCAATTAAATGGAAATCAAAATAGCCATTTCAATTATAATAATCGTTTAAAAGAGATTTTTATAAATATATTAAAATATTCAACATTTCCATCAATATTAAATTCGAATTCCTCATTATTAAATAATATTAATACAAAACCAATTATTTATTTAAATGATCCGATAGAAAATTCTAATCCAATCAATAATAATTCAATAGAAAATCAATATAAATCAAATCATAACAATAATAATAATAAACGTGTAATTATATCCCCACATAATAATGATATTTTATTAAATAATATCATTAATTCATCATTATTAAATATAAATACAATAATGGATACATCAAATTCAAATGATATAACACCATTCAATACAATGAATTCGATAGATTCATTAAATATAGAACAAAAACATCATATAAATTCAGATGTTACATTACAATCAATATGGAATCCTAAACTTTTAACAACCTATTTACAAATTATTAGTAATCTTTTAGGATCAAATTCTTTAATTAATAATAATAATAATAATGAAGATAATCAAATATCATTAACTAATAATATAAATAAATTAAATGATCAAAATAAAATAAATTCTACAAATATTTTGGATTCGTCAGAACAATTAATTAATTCAATATTCAATTATTCATCATTATTAAATGAAAATATAAATCATGAAAAATTATCTAAATTAAATTTAAATTCAATTCATTCACATTTATTAATTGCACAACATTTAAAATTACCAATATTAATTAGATTACGTAATCAACCAATAATTCAAGCATATTTTTTAGGATTGAATCATAATACAATTATAAATGATTATTATTTATTACAACAAAATAATTTAATGAATATGATGTTTTTTGAATATCCTATTGGTTCATCAAATATATGTATTGGTTTTAATCAATTTATTAAATTAATCGATACAAAATTGATTTCTGATACTAATAATAATAATACTAATAATAATAATATCAATGATATTGGAGAAATACATTTAAGTATTGATCAATTTGAATATGAAATAGCTAAAGATAATACGAATCAAATTATATGGGCACCATTTATTGATTTAATTTTATTAATTATTCAATTAATAACACAACCATTAATACAAAAACAAACAAATAATATTACACAATTATTATCAAAAGATTTATTAAAACAAATAAATATAACAAATGATATAATAGAAAATGAATTAAATTTATCAAAAAAACGTAAATCATATTGTTATACTACTGATGAGATTATAAATAATCAATTATATGATATAAATAATAAACAACCACGAATTGATAATGTTTCTATGACATCACATACTGAATTAAATGGAATTAATAATAATAATAATAATAACAATAATAATAATAATATAAATATATTAAATGATTCATATAAAAAATGGAAACCATTAATACAACATAGAAAATCACCAAATAAACGAATTTTATGTAATTTATGCCCACGTCATTTAGAAGGTAGTCATTTTGTTCAATGTCCAGCTAATATTAAACATAGATTTTGTTTTCAATGTGCTAAAATTTATTTAGAAAATGTAATGAATGAACATCAAGTTCATAATAATAGTAATAATAATAGTTCAGCTAATACAAATATGAATATGAATAATTTGAAAAATTTAGAAATTTATTGCCCTAGTGGTAAAAAATGTGTTCTACCTGGTTCTAAATATCCATGGTCATTTGTTAGTTCAGAGATAACTGCAATTTTAGGTAAAACACAATTAACTATTGATCAATCATCTCGTTATGATCAAACATTATTATTAGAGAATAATAATATTCCAGAAAAAATATCTAATCATAATCAATTAAATGGTAAAATGAATACAATCAATAATTGTCGAATAGAAAATATCACACGTAATAATCTATCACAATGTTCTGTAAATCATCAACAAGATAGTAGTGAAATTTTATCATCTCAAAATGTAAATTGTAAAACTTCATCAGAATCTCCAATGAAATCATCATCAAATGAAATACATTTATTATCTAGTAATAAATCAATAAATGGAATTAATACACAATTGAATTATCATGATACTATTAATAATAACCAATCAAAATTAATGAAATCATTTAAAGATAATCATGTCATATGTGGAAAGTTACGTAATCAAAAACATTCTACATCAACATCATCATCATCTTCATCTTCATCATCATCGTCATCCCCGCCACCATTAATACTGACGACGACGACAACAACAACAGTAACAACTTCAACTAACTTGTCTTCAACATTATCTTCTTCATCATCATCATCATCATTATCGTCACCATCATCCCTTATTATTAAATCAAATGAAATAAGGAATAAATCTTCACTGAATACAGTATTAACAACAATATCAACATCAATGGGACAAATAACAGAGAATAATATACTTAAAAGTAATATTGAATTATCATCTACTGAAATGAATAATATTTCAGATGATAATGATTAATTTATTTCTAATTTCTTTATTAAAATCATTTCATTCAATTCATTATACAAAATATACAATCAAATTATAAAAATGAATAGTAATATTTATTAGTAGTATTAGCAGTGATATGACTAAAATATAAAATAATAATTAAAGAAAAAATAATATTGTTAAACAATAACCATTTTGTTTATTTATATTCATTGTACAAAATTGAATTATTGATTATCTTTTCTTTCTCTTGTCTTATATTATTTTTGGGATTACTTTCTTGAGTATTATTTAATAGAATTACTTATAAATATATATATATATATATATATATATATATATATATATATATATATATAATAAATAATCATTACTACTATTATTGAGTTTTTGATTGAGATTGATGTTAGACCACTACTGAAAACCTAGAAGCATTGGATGACCTCACGAGATTTAAATCTAGGATTTTGAATCTCGTCCGCGATTGCTTAATCTTTAGATCACTGAGCCAGCTGGCATCCAATTATGTTAATATCTGCATATTAGTTTGATTGCTGATATGTCAGTTCGTTTTTTTTATTTGGTGAATGGAAAATGAAAAGTTTATTGATATCAATTAGTTTTTATTGGATATTCAAATGATAATAATAAGTTTGTAGATATCATTACCAAGGTTTGACTTGATAATTTCGAATAAATTAAGCATTATGTAAATTAATATTTGAACGAAGAATATTCTTTTCGATAAATTCTCTTTAGGTTCTACAATTCATATATCCAAATTAATAATCCAAAAAATGGCCAGGTTAAGGGCAAATTACATCGTTTAAAGTATCTGCAGTTACAATTCGATCAAATGTTTAGTAGAAGACTATATTGGGTAAAAAATTTTTAGTGTGACATAATAAGGTGAATAAATGCGAAGTGAATGAATCATGTATAGGGGAGATTAATAATGATATTTAACCAATAGTAATAATAAACATCATTATTAATCTCCCCTATATGTGATTCATTCACTTCGCATTTATCCCTCCTTATTACGTCTTACTAATTTTTCACACAATATAGCCTTCCACTAAACTATAACAAAGACTTTTTAATTTTTATATATAAATGTTCTTAACATGTATATGTGTGGTCAGGTTGTTCGAAATGTATTGCGCAAATATATCACATAATTCTGATAAACTTCGTCTTCTCATAGCATTATCGAAATTTATCAAAGGGACTAATTGTTTTAAACTTCCACTAAATATTTGATCGAACTGTAACTGCACTATTATTTCTCTCACCCTATCTGACCCATATTTATTCTGATCATGGATCTTAAATTTCACTTAACATATACGCAGATTCAAGTTAACCTTCTGTCTGAGTTATTACCAACATTAACAATTTTATTGTATTTTGTTTAACAATCCTAATTTAAACCATGTACTTTGCCCTTAACCTGGCTATTTTTCGGATTATTAATTTGGATATATAAATTGTAGAACCTAAAGAGAATTTATTGAAAATATATTTGTAATATCCAAATGAGTAGAAAAATTAGATTTTCTGACGTTTCGTGACTTAGTGTAAGTCACTCCTTGAGTGAATAAATAACTAAATAACTAAATAAATAAAATTCTCTGAAGAAGCGGTTTATACGGAGTCACGAAACGTCAGAAAATCTAATTTTTCTATTCATTGAGATGTTACAAATACATTATTTATTGATAATAATAAGGATTAAAATAAATTTGTGAATAGATAGTTAAGGATAAATAACAGAATATAAGATTAAATTTTCTATCCAATAATATAGTTTATTAAATTAAACTTTAGTTGTAATTATTAGGTACAATATAAAATGCTGAAAATGCGACAAGAATTCATTAATATACTTCCTTATTGAATAGAACAATAATAGTAATACTCGATAGTTTAGAATTATGGTCTATTATGATATTAGAACTGCTCTAATAATAGACCTAATCCTAAAATTGTGGATTTATCATGATTTAACTGCCTAATCTATGAGATTTTACTTGGAAGTTACATCATCCTCTACACCAACTCACTGCATTTTAACAAATACCAATACATTCAACCACTACAGTTCAAATGAAAGTAAGGAAGTTAATAGACTATTGATATAAGGGTGAAATTGTCAATATTGATTTTTATATATATATATATATATATATATATATATATATATAGAGAGAGAGAGAGAGAGAGAGAGAGAGAGTTTGTTGAGGTCATGGCGGTAATCATTTATTTTATCTTTTAATAACTAAGATTGTATAATATACATTACTAATAATTGTAAGAATAAAAATTGAGTCAGTGTAAATCATTTCTATTTACTTCACCATTGTGAATACGTACATTTCTAGTCGAATTTCATTGAAGTGATCCTTTTGTTTTATGTGTATAATATTTACTGTAAATTCTGAAATCGATTAACAATACATTTGTAAAATATATTTACACTACAATATCTTGCACTACAGTGTTAAGTCAACATCAACTTCCAATAGAGAAGTATATGAATATGATTTAGGGAATAAAATCCTACATAAGGTATCAGTGGATATTACGACAGGGAGAAAAGTTTTTTTTAAGATAAAACCTTTATTTCAACAATTGTGTTGATGACACATAGATTTTCAATAATTTGATTATTAATTGAATTCATAGTAAAATGTAACAGATTTACTTGTTTGTTAGTCATTCAATTTTCAAGTCGAAATCTTTCCAGTGAACGACCATATAAATTTGTTTATGCCCTAATTTTGTGAAAAGATATCTAGATAGGATGATATTGTTCAGGAAATATTTCACTGTTTATTCAAACGATAATCAAGATAAAAGTTTCCTCTAATAAATCCAATTCAACATGAAGCAATATATAAAGCAATCATGTTTTGGATAGAGGCTAACTTTAGGATCAAAGATGTGTATTTCATCTTATTTGAGATTTGTTAGATAGATTAGCCCATATCTTGACATTAATTGTGAAACAGAAGTCCAGGACTTTAAATGGCATAGTGTTGTCCGCTGATGGATTACAACAGTTATTAACTTATTCAATTAGTATTTATTGTTTGAAGTGATAGTTCCTGTGTTCTAATTTTAGTGTCAACACTGGGATTCCATCACTCCTAACTAATGAGTCCAAGATAGGATGAAACACATTTGTTAGAATCTAATAGTAACGTTTTTTTAAAAATACAATGGACTTTCGGATGGAACTTTTTTGCCATTATTTTAAAATACTTATGTATGAAAAGTGCCTGGTCTGATTCAATCAAGTATTGTATTTAACAAATCAAACAATACATAATGATAAATATAAATTTTATATATGATAATGGAAGTTCTATTAGAAGTAATCAGTATTATCAACGAGCATTAGTTTGTATTATTCTAGGTATATGGTATTATGCATGATTGACTCTATACTGAAAATACTATATTCACTTACTTACTAACGCCTGTTATCCCTAGTTGAGGAGCATAGGCTGCCCACCAGCACTCTCCATCCAACCGTGTCCTGGGTAATCCTTTACAGTTAGTTCTAGTTCCTAATCATCCTTTTCATATCTGCTTTCATTTCCTGACGTAGTGTGTGCTTCGGCCTTCTTCTTTTCCACTTCCCTTCAGAAATCCAATTTAGGGCTTGACACGTGGTGCAGTTTGATGATTTCCAAAATGTATGTCCTATCCGCTTCCGACATCATTTTCTAATTTCCTCTTCAGCTGGAAGCTGGTTTGTTCTCTCACATAAAATGGTGTTGCTGATAGTATCCGGCCAATGGACGTTGAGTATCTTGAGTAGACAACTGTTTATAAATACTTGTACACTTTTGATGATGGTTATGGTAGTTCTCCAAGTTTCAGCTCCGTACAGTTGAACTGTTTAGACGTTCGTATTGAAGATTGTGACTTTGATATTGGTTGACAGTTGTTCTGAGTTCCATATGTTCTTCAAGTATATAAATCCTGTCTTTGCTTTGCCAATACTCTCCTTTATGTCTTCGTCGGACCCCCCACGTTCATCGCTGATGCTTCGCAGTTATGTGAAAGATCCCATATCTTCCAGAGCTTTTTCATCAAGTGTGATTTGGTTATTGTTCTCTGTGTTGTATTTTGAGGATCTTGCTTGTTTCTTTGCGTAAGTTGAGGCCTATTGCTGAAAAGGCTTTCGCTAAACTGTTTATCTTCATCCTCATTTGTTTGAATGTATGGGATAGAAGGGTCAGGTCATCTGCGAAGTTCAAATCTTCTGATTGATTCCGAGTTGTCCATTGTATTCCGTGCTCTCCTATCAGATGTTGAGGTCTTCATAATCCAGTCGATCGAAATCCTATGTATACAATGTATGAATTATCATCTTACCCATAAAATGATCATGATTTACTACATAAGTTTATCAAGTATTTTTACTCAACGTATTTGATAGAATCAATAAAGTATTTATTACAAATTAAAGACTAATTATATGGAAGTTAAATGATCAATGAGATATTGATGCATATTTCAACTTGACACTATGTTATTAGCATAAACTAATTTAACAAGTATACCATTGTTGTTTCGTTATTAAGTTTAAAATGGTGAACGCAATTATGAATCGCATCATTTGCTCAAGGTGATGAAATGTTATTATATTCTTAAGTTTTATCTGTAATTAAACGTTTAACGGGGTAACTTGTAATGCATGATGTTAGGCCTCATTTATATAAATTGTACATTCATACATTTGAGTATAATATTTAGTCATGATGCATGATTATCAAATATTGGAAGAGATTATAAATTTGTAAGCCTTTAGATTTACATGAATTATCCGGTTAGTACTTGTCAAGATTATACATGAAATTAATTAATTAAAATAGATTGTACAATTAGAAAATAAACAATTGTTAACTCTAACTAAAAGCCTGAACTATTCAATACAAACTGAGGAGAAATTTTAAATATAGTTCAATAACTTACTATCCACTTCATATTCTGTGAATTTATTGCAATTCAGCCCCGAAGATAAAGAAAAGTATTATTCAATAGTTGAGATCATGAGTCAATTGAAGCTAAACCATCATGGAAAACATGGAAGCACTAGATGACTGTTTCCTC